TTTTTTTTTTTTTTTTTTTTTTTGTAACGTGTATTCATTTATTTGACGCCGATCGATATTTTACATTTAGTTATTTAAACAATTGTCAACGGTCATCTCGGGGGTTCGGGACTTCTAGAGTCCTAGCGCTTAAAAAGCTGAACGAGTCGTTTGTATAGACGCTGAAATAAACGCTGCTGAAAAAAACAAAAAAAAATAATTTAAAAACACGAAAAAAACCGGCTTTTAAATGCCGTCTTTGAACTCGTCGTCACGCGGCGTAAACGTCCGTAGGCACTCTCTCCGATGAGCCCGAAAGCGAAAAATAAAAAACAAGAAAACGCTAAAAGTCCCGGGCCCCGATTATTGAAACACACCGAATAAAACGTGGTTTCACAAAAATGAATGCTCCAGCACACGGTCCCCGTAGTCGGGCGTATACTTTGCAATTCAAACACGAGCGTAAATTCGCACCAACTGCTGGCCAATATTATATTTGAAAAAATAAAAAAAAAAAAAAAGGTAACCCTGTTGACGAACCGTTATAACGTTTCATTTAGGTTTCTACTTTCTACGCACACGACGCGCATATATGGCAATACAGACGCACGCCCCGAGCGGAAATCAAATACGGTTCGAACACGTTATTAAAAATATTTAAACATTTCATCGCAAATGTACTTTGAACAAAAAATAATAACAATAACAATACGTTTCGAACGTTTTACAAATATAGGATTCGGAAATGTTTATGAAATTGCACATTTTTTTTTTTTTTTTTTTTTTTCTTCTGTTTGTCCGATTCAACGCTGACCCGGATACAAATTTGATTCGCGTTCTACTGAATAGCAAATAATACCATTTTTTTTTTTTTATTTTGCGTATTTTTTCGTATTTCGTGGTCATGTATTCGAAACGCACATGTTACGTGTATAAGGATTTCAAGATTATAAAATGTGCATATTTCAATATATTTTCGAACTTTTCTGAGATACAATTTAAATTGATAACGCAAAAAAAACATGCGATTTGAACAAATTAAAAAAAAAAAAAAAAAACCTTAAAAATTATAAACTAGACAAATTAAATAACTAAGGTAAAATACATTGTTTGGTGCGTACGTTGGTGTTTTTTCAAACTAAAAATGCATATTTTATGATTTTTAGTGCATATTTGGTAATTATTAGTATCCATAAACGCATACATTTTAAGTGCACGTACATCCGAACCCTATGTGTGTATATAACTACCAACTAATAGTTTAAACGGTACGCGTTATTATATAAATAATTTGCAATTAACATTTTTAACGCCTAACGGGTTCTTGAATATTCAAAATGAATTTCGGCTAAAACTGTACTGTTATGATATTATATTTCGGCTGTGTCCGCGGTTTCGGCGGTTTTGTCCGTGTCGCCATCGAACCAAAAAGTAATAAAAAAAAAAAAAAAAAATCAAAATCAAAACGTGTTGCCGCGCGACCATCGCGGAGAGCGAATTTTACTAACTCGCGGGGTTCGTCATAATGCCGTCATGCAACATAATATAATCGACGGGAAACGATTATAATTGATATACGACTCGAAATGAACGGATATAAAATGTAATATATTATAAGCTAATTAATTCAGAACGACAAAAAAAAAAAAAAAAAACAAAGAAAAATTACAACAGTAATAATAAGGCGTACAATTGTGATAAAAAAAAAAAAAATGCGCTTGCATACGAAAAAAAAACCACGCGAAAAAACAAAACGTGCGGTCGAGCGGCGACTATAGGCGGGCGGCGCGTGCGCCTAAACGTCAAGTCTCAGCAACGTCATAAGCGGACGGCGGCGTTTGCACGCACGACTGCGACAATTACATGTCGGAATCCGGATCCGGCGTGGGTACGGAACACGCCTGGAAGCAGCTCCTCGCGTGCTGCTGTTTCGGGGACGACCGCACGGCGAACGGACTCCGGGGGTCGACTTCGACGGCCCCGTGCACCACCCTGTGCTCGTACATATTGCGATAGTTGCCGTACTGTTTTCCGCACACGTCACACCGTATGGCGGCGCGCCTGATTTGTTTGCCGCGTTTTTTCGCGTTGAACGCCGCAGTGCTGACCGTGGTGAGATTCTCGGCAGTGGCGGCCAGCGTCTCGATAGCGATGTCCGGCGTCTCGATAGCGATGTCCGGCGTTTCAATAGCGATGTCCGGCGTCTCGATAGTGGTGTCCGGCGTCTCGATAACGGTGTCCGGCGTCTCGATAACGGTGTCCGGCGTCTCGATAACGGTGTCCGGCGTCTCGATAACGGTGTCCGGCGTCTCTGTAGTGGCAGCCCGCGTCTCGGTCGCGACGCCGTGTCGGCGGCGGACGTGGTCGACGAGAGACGGCACATCGCCCGTGTACAAATAGCACACGCCGCACATGGCGGCCGCGGCGTCGGGGTGCATTTTGGCCATGTGCTTTCGGAAAGTCGAGAGGTTTCGCAGAAGGAGACCGCAAAGTTCGCAAGTCAAAGGCCGGTCGTCGGACGCGTTTGGAAATTGTACCGCGTACCGATGGTGTGCCATGTGGGCCGCGCTCATGGCCCGCGCCAAAAACTGTCTGCCGCAGCCGGACATCGGGCATACCAACCTCCGGTCGGCGCCGTGCTTGTCGCGCACGTGCTTCCAAAGTTCCGCCTTGTTAGCGCAGTAAGCGTAGCATGTTTCGCACACCTCGCCCGGTACCTGCAAGTCCCGCGGACGGTTGGTTTCGGTTGTCCTTTTGGTGTATGCCGACGTTTTACGCGCGCTGTCGTTTTGTTCCGATACCCTCGTCCCCAACGTGATAAAATGATCGGCAACAGGCATCGGATAGCTGCATACGAAGGCCATCTACACCGAGATTTTAATACGAACAAGTTTTTAATTACTCTTTTTGTGAATGAAATAACATCAAACTAATTATAATAAAAAGTGCAGATGTTCATAATATCGCATGTTACAGTTTTGAGAGTACGAATAACCATAGGCGTGCACGGTATTCATGAACACTATGTACCTCAACATATTGGTAACCAAAACAGTGATCCGATATCTTTTTCTAATAAATGATTGCATGTCTGAAAATTCTAAAAACTTAATATTATCATTATTACGATCGGGGACGTAGCCTGTAGCGGATCCAGGGGGGCCTAGGAGCCCAGGCCCCCCCAGACACATTATTTTTTCGATTTTTGTATGAGAATTGTATGAGAAAATATGCATAATGAATTATAATATTATATTTTAATTGTATTTATGTTGTAAAAATATTGTTGTCCCCTTCCCCAGATCTTTGCTCTGGATCCGCGCCTGCTGAGTACCTACCTAATAACGGGTGAATCGAGTGCAACAAACAGATATCTCCGGAGTTGTCTGGTGGTTGTAAACTTTTAACCGGAAAATCCCCCCCCCCCCTCTCCACAATTTTCCCCTTCGATATGGTTTCACAACAATATACACATATATTATACCTATACATTTATTTAATGCGCTCGGGGCTCGGCCCCTACTCCTTGGCTGAGCGAAAACGCGCTAAGAATGATATTTTTTTAAAAAATTAGAGACGTAATAAAACACGTATGCATCGGCGGTTACACAAAGAATTGCGAATGTTAAAACGGACGTTTTATTTTCGGACTGTAAAATAGCACTGTAAAATCTATACTGAACTCATTTCGCGCATTTGTTTCAAAGTATACCACAACGTATAACTATAGATCCACTGTTCTTTTTTACGTCCACGTGCCACCACAAACTACCTACTTAGCTAACGAATCGCCAAGAATGTTAATAACGACCGCCAATGTGAATTCTCATTTTCTATCTTGGTTTTCTTTCGCTTTTAATGCCATGGCCCTCTCCCCCGCTATTTTAGTTAATATTAAATATTATTTGTCTTACTACTTGCATGGCTTAAATATTTAAGCTATAATTACTTGTTAGTTGTAAGTTGTAAAAATCTTATACTTTTGACTTTCCCCCCCTCCCCCCGGTTTACATTTCTGCAGGCGTCCTTGCTCATGCATAACAATATAATCTTACTTTTTTAAATTCATCAAACTCGTGTATACCTAAATAATCTTATACTGTTATTTACTTTATATATGATATGTAAAAAAACGGCCCCGCCCGTTAAAAGTAAATATAAATAAATAAAAATAATAACATTAATAACGATTTTTAAAAAATGATAAAAAATAACTCAACCTCACCTCCCATATGTAAAAAATCTTTTTTTACGGCAATAGTAAATATCTATATTTTTCACCGTACAGGTGCCTAACTTAATCTAAATACGAAATATATAAATAAATACAAATAGTGTATATTATAATTACTATCGTCGAGTAATCCATTTTTTTTCGACTATATAGTTATTGTCGTCGAAAAGTCCATTTTTTTTAGGTCGGTTTCTTCGGTTATATTATATGCATTGACGATATTATACAATAATATTTATGATAGTGACAAATGTAATGTAGACATAACAGTAAATAGATCATAAACTAAAAACGAAATCGAAAAAATAAGGAAACAAAGCGATTGTTAAAGAACGAAAGTAGAACGAGTGTATAATATTATAAGAAATTAATAGTGATGACATTAACATGACGGTCAGCGAGATAAAAAAGTATACGATTTCGGGATGAAATAAAAAAATGCAGTAGTACAGCTGTTCGGGACGCACCATAGACCTATTGGACTAATTAACTAGTTATTAGGTCTATGGGGTGAACAGAGAATTCGTGGTTACGTGCGGATAAATTGTGCTTGGAGTGTTATTGTGAAGAACCATAGGATTCATCGGTCAGGTCACATAACGACTTAAAGAGGCGATGACGAGACAATTAGGGCAGTTACGGAGCGATATAGTGGAAACCTCAAGGAAAAAGACTTAGAGGCGAACCCGGGAAAATATGGATTGACGAGGCAAAAGAAATCTTCATTCGGAAAGCCTGGGAGTAGAAAACTGAAGGCAGGCGACACGAGAAAGAGAACAGGTGGCGAAGTGTATAGTTATAGCGACAAAAAAACCATGTCGTTAGAAGAAATACTATAATTCAGTGGTTTTCAAACTGGGTCATTTACTAGATGAGCCACGGTCTTTTGAAATTTGTTTTCATTAAATTGTGACGGACCACCAGTTGCAGTGATCCGCTCGTTAAGTATGAAGTCTTTTGAATATGACCCGTTTGAGAATGGCTCGTCAATTTTGTTATCGGTTCTAATTCTATACAAAAAATTAAACAATGACAAAAAAAAAAAAGGTCATAGTGTGCCGTGAAAATATGAAAAGCGAAGTATGCGTAGTCAAAAAAAGTTTCAAAACAACTATAGATACTATAATCATTAACGACTAAGTTCGCACTGTAGGTAAACCGCTGTTATAATTGATAGTAAGTTAGGAAACACATTGTTAGGACATTTGGAAATTTAGTTTATATATGGTGCAGTGATCATAATTTTAGGCACCACTAAATATCTCACCTGGATGATCTTGTATTGAAATGGAATTTTCGAGAAATAAAAGGGAGGAAAATACATATTTTCAGATAAATTTCAAGGTAGGTACAAAGGTATTAAATGCAATTTTTAACAAAATTATCGAGAATTTAGAAAAATGTTTCGAATAATCTGCATTTTGTAAGGCATGAAAAAATCCTAATATTTTTACTATTTAATCAAAATAATATGCACGAAAAACACACCATTATAGGACTATTATGTCCACGCATAGGCATTTAGAATCTAAACAAATTAACATTACAATCTTTTGTGAAAGAACACACCTATTCGTAAGCAGCAGTATTATTTTTTTTTAACTTTTTAATGCACCTACATGTATTTGAGTTAAATACACATAAAATGTTGATGGAAATTCAAAATTTCAACAGTTTAATCTGACTAGTAAAATTCTGATATGTAAAATGATATGGCCCTAAAAAATGTTAGTGAAAATTGTATGGTACAATTTGTAACACATCTAAAAAGTGCCAACGTAAGTATTTCATGAAAATTATAAGTTTCTACAGTCATTTTTCCTTAAATTATAACAAATAAAGTAATTTTCATAGTGTATTAAATTAAAATTAGTATGCACAGAATTATATTACACTACAATTATATTACATTCAAACAATGTTTAATTAAATAATCCAGTTTGTCACATTATTAATTGATAGATTTGAATACTATGTTACTATTAAAATTATTTTCATATTATATTAAACAAAGATAGTAAATACAGTGTAAAATACTAAATAGGTAGGTAATATTCCTGTAATTTGCAGTTAACAAGATGAAATACAAAAACAGGAAAAAGAAAAGTCAATATTGTTGAATAACAAATTCACTTTCAATTTTAATATTTGATAAGAAAAAAACACATTATATTAATGATAAAGATTCATTCTACTCAAAGACAGATGTGAACTAACACAATTATAACCTACTGTCATACGGAGTATCCAAGCATTATTTTAGTCAAATTTAAGGTGTTATACAACTTGATAATTGACTATCAGTAAAATTTCCAATAATATAGAAAGTAAATTATACAGTTTTCAAGAGTGAAAATTATATTAAAATCAAAAAGGATCAGTAGATAAAAATGGCAGTAATACATAATAATATATAGTACATATAATCAATAAATAAAAAATAAATAATAAAAATAGGAATATTAAAAATATTAAAAATATTAATATTAGTAAATGTATAATGGTCGTGGAATAATAACTAGCATTATCAACTCTTATAATTCTTTTCAGCATAAAAGAGTGATATTGCCATTATCGGCACCAAGTAGTAATAATTGATTAAGACTTAGTACTGACATTGTAGCTAAAACTCCTTTGAATATATCGGTTCTAATTTTTGTTGACGAAAATGATGCTTCACTAGTAAAACCAGTATGAATACCAATACGATTGGCTGTAGTACCAGAGATCAATTCATTTCCATGAAGACCCAAACAATGAACTGGTTCAGGAGACCCTCTATAAAGTAATTTTAAAAATGGCATAAATATTTAACATTATTAGTATAAAATATATAATTATGTATAACCTCATATTATAAATTAGATTTCCATTTGAAATATTCCAAACCGATAATGACTGGTCAAGAGATGAACTGACAATTGTATTTGAATCAACAGCTAACAATTGTAATACCTATAGGATATAAAATAATTATGAAACCAACAAAAGTTATTGCATGATTTATATCATTCATTGCACCTCTCCTTCATGTCCTTTCCAGTTGGCCAATGCTTGGCCAGTCCGCAAGTCAATAACAGTTAAATAACCTGATGACTGACCAACAGCAACCCAGTGAGCATTGGTAGGTACAGCAATGCTCCTTATAAGTCCAGTAGCATTAACAGAAATCTATAAGTTAAAACAATTAGTTAATCATTATCAATATATAATAATAGTAAATTATTGTCTTTACTTTAAGTTCTGCAACAGACTTTCCATTTCTAGGATCAATAGAATGTAATGTTGGCTGTGTAGAAGCAGCCAATATATTTGGATGCGGTGTAGGTAGACATTTAAGAATATTTACCGGAACTCCATTCATAGAAGACAAGAGACGACCACCACACCAAGGATCCCAAATATGTATGGAAGAATCACAAGATGCAACCATTCGAAATTTTTCTAAATATGCTACTGATAATACAGATTTACGGTGTCTGGTGTAAGTGTATTGACATTGTGAAATACCATTACCATTGCCCTAAATGAAATACTAATGAATTACCAACGCAATCGTTAAAATTGCACGAGTATTACTATCGCAAAATAATATTCTTACTTGATTTCTTAAAGACCACAGTTTAACAGTTTTATCACGACTAGAACTTATAAAGCTATTTTCATTATCAAGTACACTCAAAGATTTGACAGTCGATTGATGACCACTAAAAGTTTGTAATTTGATTTGTTTAAAATTAAACCAAGTATCACGATTGTTACGTCCAATAGCATGTTCCCAATAAGCTAACCAGTTTCCTCTTAAATGTCTAAATAGAAAAAAGAAAGAGCAGATGTGTTTATATTTTTTATTGTAATTATAAATTCTTATTGTAGACATTCAATTTTAGATTCTGAATGGAGCAAGGTGTTTTGATTTTATAATGATGTTTATATTTTTTTTTCCTGTGAATAACTTCTCTACTGGAAATTTTACTCAGATTTTCAAGTGTAGCACTATTTCTGAAAAAAAATCTGACTAGCGTGATATTCAAGAAATTAAATTTTTTTTGATTTTCTTATGAATTTTCATAATAAATGGGAAAAAAACGGGAAAATTTATAAAACCTATTATTTGCAAATCATAAATATTACGACCTTTCAAAAATATGTATAACCGAACTCCGCTCAGAATGGTTTTTTGTTAGCAACGATCAATAGTTGTGTAAAGATGTACATTCAATTTCTTATCTACAATAGTAACCCACCTAACACACAAAGTATGTCAGTTGTTTTTTTAGTTAATTTAATAGAATTGAGTAGGTATCTCACAATAAATATTTATAATAATAATTACTTAAATAAATATACCTTGATGATTCCACCATAGATTTAGCATCTTCAGCTACTTCAATCTCTTCATCCTACAATTTAAACATTAAATTATATTTTTAATGTTGTGCGCCTAATTAAATCATAAAACAAAATGTAATAAATTTATCTAAAACTGAATGGTTTACAAAATTATAAATATATATCAAATTTGAAATTACCTGAAAATGAATTTTGTTACCCTTAAGAGTGAGATGTGCACCTAGTTGTTCTTCAAAATTTATCGTACTTTCATTATAATCTAAACAAAAATTATATCAATAAATATCAAATACTTTTTAAACTTTATAAAATATTAATAGTTCATAAATTATACAATATATTATAGACTAACAACTATAAAATTAAAAAACACATAATAACATAAATGTATGTTAATAGTTTACTTTATATTATTATTACTAATTAAGAAATGTTAAAACTTAAAAAAATATTACATACCAATATTTGCATACCCAGAATATACTCTTTCTTCTTTATATGTGGCACACAGTTCTTTAATATAATCCCAATTCATCAACGATCTTTGCATGAATGATTCTCCGTAGTATTTCACAAATAAAGTATATGAATGATATGCTAATTCAGGTGTTAAAACTTTACAAAGTTCTTCCATAGTCTAACAAAAAAAACTTAATCAATCTTAATTAATATTTTCATAGATAAATAAAGTTCTACAGACTTTTGTTTTGAATGATTTTCCAGTAGTACAAATTGTTGAAGGAGAATCACCAGAATCACTGTTATTTAGTTCAATGGTTTGACTCCTGTATTATAAGATACAAATATAAGTATTTTTTCAATTACATTATCCATTTGGAATAGGTAAGGTTAGATAAAAAAAAAAAAAATCACAACAAAAACAAATCTAATAATATACTAATTAAAAATTAAAAATCAATACCTATTTTAAAGTCTTAATAAAAAAAACCAAATTAGTGCAAAGCTATACAATTTTCTTCTCTAATTTTGGACTATTTGTAATAACATTCTAACAGAGTTCAGAAGTCAGAACTACTAATATAAAATACAAATTAATTTTTTCAAACAGCAAACTATAATATGTGTTTACCTTGAATTAGTATCAGCCATGTTAAGTGGATCTACATGTCTCAATTTATCAAACACTAAAAACAATCTTTGAATAGTTTTTGAAATTAAATGACCTTGTTTAAGACCAAAAAAGTATATTGTTTCAAACAGTTTTGTAGCAAAATTACTACGACTAGCTGCTCCTGATGGAAAAAGAACTTTATGAGATGACAAAATCCTTAGCATTGGATGAATGATTCCCTTACATAAAATATCCTTAAGAAAAAAAAAGTTTGTTATTAATTACATAAAAGCATTTAGTGATTTTTTACATATTATAATTTAATCTCTATACTGTTACATGTTAATTATTAACAGCTGAACTGCAATAACAAAATGATATAAAATCAAAGAAAAAAAAACGGCAATATTATACAATTCATACAACATACTTGACTGATTTCGTTGAGTGTTGATTTGGTAAAATAAGACATTAGAAACTTCAACAATGTTATACACCCAATGAGACCACTTTCTAAACTTAAAGTCATTTTGTTATGTTTACATGACGACACTACATCAGTTATGTGCGGTAAATATTGAACTCGAATAACTTGTTCGCCATAAATACCTAAAATTTGTATTTTATTATTATTGTATAGGTACTTGTTTAATTATTTTCTTTGATGTAATTAAATAATAAATATTATTCGTATTGCCTGCAATGCTCATTAAACAATTAATAACCATTATTGCTTTGTCATCGTTTTGTAATGAATCTGAGTAACACAACATTAACATTTTTAGTAAATTTTTTGTAATATACATAGAAGTATGTACTGGGCCTATTCGATTAGAAACCCACACTAATGAATCTGCACCGACTTCTGATATCTTAAATATAAAATAATAATTAATATTTTAAATTGTATAAAGAACACAAACATATTTGTTAAATAGTGTTAATAATATAACCTTTAAATGTTCTTGGCCGTATAATTTTTCTGAATCAGGTGTGTGGCAAGATGGAGATATATCCTCTCCATCTTCTGCAGAGTCAATTGTAATATCACCCAAACTCTTGTCGTCGCTCAAATTAGTATCAGCACTTTGTCTATCATAGTCAATTACAACATCTTGATCATCCAACAAAACATCTTGAAGTGAAACTATACTATTTGTCAAAGCTTCATCGTCTAGAGATAATGTGTCTATAGCAATTGATTAATACAATTAATTAATTTGCTATATTATACCTATATTAATTATGGCATAATAAGTATGAAATACCATTTTCCATCACGTTAACTTCATTAGTTCCCGAGATAGAAGTTGAGTGATTATCATCAGATGATGGAAATGTACCACAAAGATCACTGTAAAAAGTACATTTAATTCACAAAATATTAGATAATTATAATAATTCTAAAACATACTTAAGATATTGTATTGGAATTGGATGTGCTCTGTTGAAATTACACCCAGATCCAACTGTTTCAACAAGTATTGGTACAACATGTTTTAAGAATATACTAGTTCCAAAACCAGAAATCAATTTCATTAAAAATGATTTTTGATAAAGTTTAATCCATTTATGATTTACAGGAATATTATCTTGACCAATATCTTTCAAACATTCTTCGTATAATTTAGTTACATTGTCAAGAAGTAATTCCTTAGATTTTTGCATACCCAAAGCTTTAAATGACGGCTCTAATAAATGCAAAGCTGCTAAAGTATTACAGTTGGAATCAGACAAAAGTTCAATAACCATAGGGACCAAAAATTCTATCCAAGTGCTGTCTGCCAGTAATCCAAGTGTTCCAGATTCATTAAACGCACACATTTCTTGTTCAATATCCATTACAAGTTTAACGCATACTGCATCAAACATATCGAGAGTAAACTTTTGGTTTTCTTCCAATAAGTTTTTAACACTTTCCATTTCAGATTTTACTACTTTATAATCATAATGAATTCTCAAAATATTGTGTATATTAGAAAAATATTTGGGAAATCTCAAAATAGAAGATGAGAGAGATGGAATAAGCAGTTGATGAGGTGTAGGTGGTGGGAGTCCATTATCTGTTATGACAGAGCACCAGTTAAAATCGAATGGAGAGGGAGTTTCATTTAAAGGGATTTTATCAATTTGAAGTAGTAATTTGATTACTGGTCGAATACAGTCAGGAAGATCTTTCTGGTACGTTGAAGCTATCACACGGCAGCTCTGTAATCTTTTTAAAAAGGATAGCGTTGATAGATTACTTCCATGGGCAATAACTTTGTCTCCTAAAAATAGTTCTACAATTATGCAACCTAAAACCTGAAAACAAATAATACATGCAAATTAATTTATGAACAGAAGAAAAGTGTAAAAGTTAATAAAAAATATCATAACTATGCTAAAACAATTATAAATACACTTTTAAATTATCTTTACGTAAATCATATAAATATATACATTTAAATAAATTACTTACAATAGCTAAAGTTCATTGTTAAACTAATACATCTGATATTTCACTTATATATTATTTTATAATTTTATATAACTTGAATATTTTTGTTTAATTATATAATTAAAACTAAATTATTACTTGAATTTCTTGAGCTCTTCGATTTGCTATAATTTTTTTAAAAGACATCACATCTTTTGCCCGAAAATCCTTAAGAGGAGTTTTTAATGTCTTAGCGCATAATCCGTTCAGGAAATTATTTAATGAATCTAGAGCGATTAAAGGCGTTGCAGGATTATAATCTGGTGGTAGCTAAAAATATTGATAACACCATAAATAATTATTGTTTAGTACAGTAAAATTAATTTATTACCTTAGTACTAGAATTAATTAATTAATTAAGATATATTCATTAACACTTACACAGAGCGGTATATTAGATAAGTCTAAATATTTTATGAATCCATTCCCAGGTGTACCATTATCTGCAGATGTATTAGGAGATTGATCCTCAATTATTGGAGGTGTTTCTAAATTATAATTATAATTCAAAAATAAAATATAGTATAATTAGTAAATCAAGTAAAGAATACATTAATTCAGAATTTAAAACTTACTTAATTTTGGCATAATGGGAGGAACACTTGAAAAATAAGGTGATGGTAATAGTCTCTGGGGATGAGGCTGTGTGAATAGTTGTACTATTCCAGATGTCGACAGATATGTATGATTATCGCACAGTTGAAGACACACGTTTTTTGATTTTACTGCAGCCAAACCAGATAATCTAAAAATGAAAATGTTCAGTGATTATTGAAAATAATATTTAATTTATAATAAGTTAACATTTTACTTGTATCCAAATGTTAAATCAATCCAATGATGTAAACGTTCAGAAATATATTTACTTTCTAATATGGCTCTATGTGTATCTACCAAGTCTTGTACATTCTCTGCCCATGTAGGAATACTCAAATCGGGTAGTTCTTTATGTATAGACTAATAAATATTTTAAAGAACACATTTTTAATACTTTATTATAATATATAGTATATCTTTAAAATATAAAAATACTTTAAAAACAGATGGATCAGTAAAAAATTCTGGTATACATTCATCTGGAGACCATTGTTGCATGCGCTGTATACTTGAAGGGTATTCTTCAGGCACAAATTTTGTTCTAATATAACGACAAAGAACCGATTGGGGAGTTACTCGAGATCGATATACATAATATGTTATTTCAGATAAAATGTCAGGAACATGATGTGGAGTCTACAACATCAAAATTTTATAAAACATATATTGTCTATGTAAATTACAAAATTAATAATAAACGAAATAACAAGTACCAGAATTGAAGTTTTCTCATCTTCAATATCAAAAGTCAAATCTAATTGTCTGTCCCCTTTATTTAGTCTATACTTTGATTTTGTGAGATCGCGATAATTGAGACCAGCTCGAGAGCTAAAGTCAGTCACCCAAGGAAATACATGATGACATTTCGGGTCGCCATATTTTCTACCAGCCAGCTTATTCAGGAATGTAATATAATCAAAGTTAGAAATGTTTCCACGGACCCATTGTTCACATGTTTCTGCCAAATTCTCAAAAATTGATGTTTTTACCGTTTTTTCAAAACTATTATCAAATTCATCAGAGTCTGAAATATTATCGGTGATTCTTGGTAGAACCTAAAACAAAATAATTTATAGAATAGGTAGTACAGTCCTAAACATTTTAGAATAAAATAATAAAGAATTACAATTAACTTACTCGAATCCATAATTCAGGAGAAACAATGATATCAGACAAAGTAATATCGCCAAGCACAAGTCCTTGGTCATGGGTATTTTGCATTGCATTTAAAAGTTGATACAATACAAATAATGGACGAGCATGACTAGATTTTAATAACGCTGGACTGTAATTTATACAGTCTTGAAATGAATGCACATTATTTGTTTCCTAAAAAGAAATAAAATAAATTACTATACAAATATTTAAATCAAAAATATATTAAACAATTTTGTACCTGTAATACATAAAAATATTTATTAGTTTCAAAAACTAAATTGGCTGGTAAGATGTTACAATGAGACTCATTTTCAGTTATTAAAGATATTTTACTTGAACTTTCTCGTAAATTAACTATTGGGCAGTTATAGAAACGCGCAAGTATATCTCGTATCACGGTATCATGCGGGCATAAACATAAATTTGAGGAAACTGATGCTTCTCTACAAAAGAAACCATCTAGAAAAAAATTAAAATAATCCTTAATGATTTAATTAAATATTGCTATAGAACAATTTATAATTTTTGTAATTTTACTGAACATAATAAAATATAAGTATTCCAAACATACAACCGACATAATCCTTTTTTATTTTTATAAGACTCAATTTGAAATTAACAAAAATTAAAAAAAAAAAAATACAATAAATTATAAATAATTTGTATAAATCACAGTATTTCTGGAAAGTACTTGCGATACACTTAGGACACCTTGGTGCACAGTTTGATAACCACTATTATAGTATATTAACAAGTTTATAATAAAATTAAAAAATATAACTTGCCATATTTTTTGTACGCTTCTTTCCATAAATTTTTCCTATTTGTTACGGTTACATATTGTAATTGTTGCGAGTAACTTAAATCCTTATCAAAATGTACAGTTTCGTGTCTCCGTGCCAAAGGAATCACAGATTTATCTGACTTTTGTAAAACCTAAAGAGATTTAAACTTGAAAAATAAAAACTCTACGGCTATGATGTTTTTATATTTACAGTTATGAAAACATATATCCATGTATCGCCCAAACTCTCAATTTGTTGAACTTTTGCACGGACATCATCATTTGTAAATATCTCGTGATGTAAGAACGGACGATAAATTCCATTCAAGAAATCTCTATTAAACAAAATAATACAGAACATTAGTTTACAATCGCTAAACTGTATATTAATAATTACCTAAACCAAATACGATGCACATTAGCGAGAAATCTCTTGGAGTTGCTGGTTGACTTCAAATACTCAACAGGAATCGTAAGATCTTTTGAAACAACATCCACCCAAGCCATTTTATTTAATATTATTAGTTATTCAAATAATAAATGTACAATATAAAAAGTAACATAATGAACCTCTCAGAAATTACGTCAATTTTGAATTTGAATTTGCTAATTGACCTCTTATCATTATGTTATCTGAGAATTATTTTTGTTGACATATTGATAATTTTATTATCTATGGTTGTAACTACGGACCACGATTAAAGATTTACATATTCGTAATTGACGGCAGTTGTAATTTGTTTCAACTCTATATACTATTCCCCTAATCCAAATATCTATTGTCGGTTATAATATAATTATAACCGCCTTGCCCCTAAATTATATTATTAATTTGTTCGATTTGAATAAGGAAGAAGCAGTTTTACAATACCTATTATATAAACTATTAATATATCGCAATCAATGTTATTACTTATATAAGTAGTGAAATGTGTTACTTTTTAGGGGGTGAAGGAGAGAAATACTACAAAATTTACCAATTAAATTCAAAAGCATTTATTATAAATATGTTTACTAAAAATGTTCCAAATCTTTTAGATCAACATCATTGGTTCTTTAATATGCGGACCTGCATATTAATATTTTTCGCTCCATGTTACTGTTTCTGAAAATATTGTCTAGATTACCATCATTTTTTTTAAATAAGCAGATAGGCACCGTGTTAAAAAAAACTACCTAACACAACAAATGACGATGAGTGTATGTCGGTTTTGTTGTGGTCAATTTTTGAGTTACCAATACATTCTATACATACCTAGTTCGAAATATTATTATATTTTATTTTCATATGAACAACCCCCCACCCTCTACCCCCGGAAGTTATGTTTGGTTTAACTTTCAAGTTCCTGTCAACAAGGGTAACCCATCAATCAAGCGGAAAAACACCGCAAATACAAAAATTCTCTATACAGGCAACCCTTCCGGTTTATATTTGCTCTGAATTGTTTTATAATTGCAATAAATGATCATTGCTTTTTTTATATTAAAATTGTGAATTCTAATTTGTATATGTAGTATAATATACAAATTAGGTTAGTACAGTAGGTACTACTTTGACTCAATTAAATAACGTAATTGAAACGTAAAGTGTTTTCTTTTAACTTATTAACTTAAATTCTACCGAACGGTTTTAACACTTTACTGCATGCATTTTTAAAATTAAAACAAATACTTATTTTTAAATTACTTTTTACTCATGAAGTAATATATGTAATTTTAATTTTATTAAATCTGAAATATGCAACTATATATACCTGTATGAACTACCTAATTATTGTATAGTATTAAGAGATTTTACATTTTGTTATAGAGCAATAGGTACCTATATTGTAAAAAACAAAATTTAAAATTCATTTTTCTATAAAGATGTATACCTAACTATTTAAAAAAAATAAGAAAATATATCTTTTAATAGAAAAAAAATAATGCATAACAATCGAAAAAGAATATAATTTTTATAAAAATATGAAAAACATTAATATGAAGTAAACAAATATAATAACAAAAAAGTAAAAATTTTATGAATATGTCATTATGTTGTTATATTATAAACTAAATAATAACAAATAATAGAAAAAGAAAACAATATACTTTATACCCTTATTTATGCGATAGATGACAATGATTGAGCATCTACTTCTTTACACGCCACCTAAATAGCGCACAAGTAAACAAATTAATAAAATAAAGACAATTTAAAATATATTACCATATAAGATTTTATAGTTACTTACCTCGACATTTTCTAAACGTATTTTTTTATTTGTATTTGTAGGAAAATAAGAAAATAAAGTGTTTTTTTTTTTTTTTGGGTAAAATCCATATTTTCAACACATACACTTCACTTCACAAGCCACAAAACGAAAAAATTATAAGAAACAAAATGTAAAATAAATAATAATAGAAGACGAGCAATGCCGCAGGAAGTCAGCACTCGCCATACTATCTAGAAAATTCTTGTATAGAAACGTCCAAAGGCCACTTGTAGATATTATAATATGATACCTAATGAACATAGCTAGACGATAACCGATAGCTAAATATAATAACTAATTATCAATGTTATTATTAGGTAATATTAACCTACTCATAACAAATTTTCTAAAATTAAACGTATACGCTATAGATTTACTCTTCATGTTTATAATTCTCATCATTGTCGATAATGTTTTTTTTTCTATTAATGAAGTAGGTATACGAGCGTATACGTGCGTAGTNACCTCCGACAATTATTGTGCAAGGGGGTCCGCAAGGAAAAATTGCTCAGAGTGTGGAGGAACCCGCCGAGTCCGAATTAAGGCTCCGCGCCTAGGATGACTGCGACAGGTGAGGTGTACACAACACACAATGGTCGATCGCCATACGGCGAGTTGGACGGATGGACCACGCAAGACCTCACGGAAATATGTGGACGTCGAATGGTATATATACCCGACATCGGTTACACAGTGAACACAAGCGAGAATTACGGTACAAACTTTCTGCGCATAACATGCTTTAGTCACGCCACTAAAAGCCTACAGATGCCGTTAAGGGTAGAAAAAGGACGTCAGTTTCGTGACCGCCGCTAGACCGGGCTGCGGGTATATCGTGACGGGTAGAATTATTTTCGTTTTTTTACCCCCAATTCGGAAAGCGGATTTTCCTATACGAATAGCAAACGAATGAATATGCTCCTAATCACCTAACCGAACCTTATTGAAAAACGAGGTTTTTTTATATCCAGCAGTATAGATCTGTATATTATATATGCTGTATATTAGTTATATTTTAATAATTCAATCCGGGGCTTAACACCGTTAACAATCTAAGAATCAAAAACAGATAACCGCTTTATTGGTAAGTCATTACCGGTAATCGGAATATCGAAAGTAAAGTTATTTTTTCAATTTGTTTGATAAAAAAAAAATATTAATTCATACATAAATATTTGTTCTCCAGTGAGTAATATAAAAAAAAAGAATAATTTGATTATCATTATTGTTTCCATAAATAAACAAGGGGTAAATCTTCGTAGGACAGCTTGTATATGTCCATGATACAAATAAAATAGTTGTATGAAGGTGAGGCGTTTTCGATATTTCAATACTAATTAATCGATAAAAAACATCAATTTGTTAATATAGTATAAAATAGATGAATCAAGGACGCTTCGTCCCTGTCAAAAAATGAGTTCATGGACTACTATTATTTAATTATAGGCCAATTGATTTGCATTTTTTTTTTTTTTTAAATAATTATTATTTTATTTCTTCAAAAGTTCATCTTTCACTGACAAACTAATACATTCATTTTTAACGAACAATTTCATTTTATCAAAAAAAAAAAACCAAACATTTTTTAAAAATAACTTATGTCTAAATACATTCATTTTGAATAACCAATTTCATTTTAAATGACAATACTATAAATGCACATGTACAATCATAAAGCACACACCCACAATAACAATAATATTTTCTATACTTGAGTGTAATTTATAATTAACTTGATCAAATTCGGAAAAGGCAAGTAGAAAATGTTCTGTCCATATAAAAAATTTTGGTTCGAGTTGGTACGTTAATTCACGTTTGTGAAGAGAACATTAGAAAACGGTTTTCATTATTTTTAATGTCTTAAAATAAAAAAACGGATCATTTGTGAATTTACTCCACCAGTTATAATCCAATGTGTGTGCCTTCTAGTAAAATATCATCTTGTTCATATTGTATCATATTGTTAGTTCCCATTGGCTTCTGTAGCCACTGTCTAAGCTTCGTTTTTGAATTTATTTACAGGTGGTTTGTCAGGTGCTGGTAAACTAGATGAATCCTCTGTTAATGCTTAAGCGAGTGGCATTGGAGGGGATTCTGATGTTATAGTCATTGGTGATGTCATCTTCAGATTTATCACGGGAATCATTTTTAATATTTAGTTGGTGACCATTGGAAGGTGGGATCGACTCAGGATTAAATTCATCTGATGTTGGTTCGTTTATAACTAAGTATGATAAAAATATATTTAACTTTTATAACAATAACTAACATAACTGATAAAATGAAATTATAAGAACCTTTGTTTGATCAACATTGCCATTCAAATGAGGATCTGTCTTTGCTTGTTTACTAATTGATTTCTGACAAGCTTCTGGAACACCACTCAAGATTTTTCAATTTAATATTTATTGATTTTTTAAAGTGAAATATTATGAAACTAAACTTTAATTTTTTTTTTATATTAATGTAAAAATTAGGCAAAATTAGGACTGGGTTGCTAAGGTTAGGCCTGGGCTCTAGGTCTACAACCTGCTGTCCCCCACTCTCGTCGGGCATGGTTGAAAAAATTCTTAGCCTATTTTATTTACATACACATAATAATAGATTATTATAATTTTAAAAATAAATGTCTGTGTTAAAAAAAGTTTTTAAATTTTTAGTAAATAATACCTACCAATCTATAATATTTACATGTTTTTTTATGTTAGTAGGTAGGTATATAAAAACGTGATAACGCTAAGTATTATAGTGGTGTTTCAATATGATGTATTATTATACAGATAACTTTATAATATATAGGGCAAAAGACAAATACGATTATAAAATATAATTGATCAACTGTGATAAACACAAATTATAATATTTTGATTACTTTTATACTATCTAGGTACCTACCTATTCTGTGTCCCTCAGAAGTTAACTTACTTTTGATTTGATAAAATTATCAATAGTAAAGATGTAAAAACACGGCAATGGGAGTTTAAACCTCGGAATAGATGAAATCGATCTCATCTAGTCTGTGTTTGAATCCCAACGCGGACCTTTCTCTTACTTACTGGACTGCCCAACATAAATCAATTGTAATAATTTTTGGGCAAGTGTTAGAAATACAAAATTGAGTCAGCAATTTGCAAACCCTCCCCCCCTAAACTACAAGGATAAATAAATAGGTGTGTCACTGATAATTACCCTATCTCTATATTATTCTACATTTTAATTTACAACTTGCAACAATGGTCTACCTATGAGCATTACCTTTTTTAATGATCTAACTGTGACTGGTAACGTGTTATATAAATAGGTGTCTAGTAATATTATTGTATGTACAATTTATTTTTCTTGTTAAATTATGCTATAATTTTGTTTTTAAAATTCATGGATTTAGGGGGTCTACACTCTTAGGTTCTTTAATACAACTTATGATTTCCTAATTTTTATATTATTTTCTTAAGTTTTTGGCAGCAACATTACAACTTAATAAATTGATCCTAAATTTTTTAAACATTAGGTAGAACAAATTGACAAAGTGTGCCAACAAAAATAAACATGGGTTGTATTCGAAATAATATTTAGGAAACATTAAATATTCAGAAATTTTAAAAATTATTTTTTCCTTAAAAAAAAATACTTCTTTTTACTAGTTTAGAAAATTTAATGTTTTACTAGGTATAACACTTTTTTGGTTAGTAAAAATAATTACTTTAATATAAAAAATGTTCACCTGATGGTAGTTCATTAAAATTTTTTTTTCAAAATTACTAATAGTGCACACTTCTTCAGCCTTCATTATTGGTTATTTTGGAAAGGAATTATTTTCAGTTAGTTCACATCAATAACAGTTGCACACCTGTCAACAATTCAACTGTTTTTTTTTAATGGATTGTATTTCTAATATTTTTACGCAATGCATTCAGAATATTTTGAAAATACAATTGTTATAGGTTAAGTATTTGTAATATTACTTTTTGTATGTACTTAAATATTTATAATGAATACTTTTAAAAAGTATTTAATTTAATTTTAAGCATCACTCTATTACCTGTTTTAGCAGGTCCTCCTTTTTAGTCAGCATCTGTGAATAAATAATGAACAGTAAAATAGAATAAATAACAATACAACACATATAATAAACATTATTTTAATGATTGTAAATTATAACATACAGCCAAAATAACAAACAAATATTTTCTATAAAGATAGGTTTCGACTAACATAATTATTTATATAATTCATAATGATTAAAAAGTTCATGTATAAAAACTATATATATCATTTATTTAAAAACTACGATTATTTATATTTTGGCAAATTTTTAACTTTACTATAATTTTATCACAGCCTTTAAGACTCATAGAGCGAGAATAGGTACAACGGAGATATGTTATGAAATATAAAGGAATAATTTTTTTTTTTTTTTTGGGTTAATTGGCC